CCAAATGAAACTCCTCAGCTATTCATTTGTGCAACTTCTTCCACTGCAATTATCTGCTCTTTCAGTATATTGCTTTAGTATTTTTGTCTTATCTGCTGGATTCTTATAATGACAAATAGTGTCTTGGTTGCAATGCCAGTAGATTATTTAAAGCAGTGTGCAGAGTTGCTGATAAAGGGGGAATATAGACAAAACCATTTGAGATTCCTTTGTGATTGAACAGACAAGGGTGAAAAATTGTTAATCATATCAGATCATAATTTTCTTTAAAAGCAGATGAGGTTTTCATGAACCACAGTATTATTTTTAAATAGACATCCTTATTCAAAAGGTCTCTCTGCACTTGTGGGTGGATCTGTTTGTCTGAGTTTGATGGTATATTATCAACATGCTGTGAGAGAATAAGCAATAGTTTAAGATCTCAAAATATGAGGTTTGCTTGCATCTTGGATAAGGAAGTTATTTTGCTATTTTAGGGAAGAAGATACCCATCAGAATAAGGTATCCTGTCACCATTAGGGCCAGTTCATCGCTTAAGAGCTATTCATAGAATCATAGAATCAGCTGGGTTGGAAGGGACCTCCGAGATCATCAAGTCCAACCCTTGATCCAACACCGCCATGGTTACTAGACCACAGCACTAAGTGCCACATCCAGTCTCATCTTAAAAAACCTCCAGGGATGGAGAATACACCACTTCCCTGGGCAGCCCACTCCCATGCCCGATTATCCTCTCTGTAAAGAATTTCTTCCTAATATCCAACCTAAACCTCCCCTGGCACAGACCATGCCCTCTTGTCTTACTGATAGTCGCCTGGGAGAAGAGACCAACCCCCACCTGGCTACAACCTCTTTTCAGGGAGTTGTAGAGCGTGATGAGGTCTCCCCTGAGCCTCCTCTTCTCCAGGCTGAACAACCCCAGCTCCCTAATTCTCTCCTCACAGGACTTGTGCTCAAGTCCCTTCACCAGCCTCGTTGCTCTTCTCTGGACCTGCTCCAGGACCTCAATATCCTTCCTGAACTGAGGGACCCAGAACTGGACACAGTACTCGAGGTGTGGCCTCACCAGTGCTGAGTACAGGGGGAAGAATCACTTCCCTGGTCCTGCTGGCCACACTGTTCCTGATCCAGGCCAGGATGCCATTGGCCTTCTTGGCCACCTGGGCACACTGCTGGCTCATGTTCAGCTTCCTGTCAAACAGCACTCCCAGGTCCCTTTCTGCCTGGCTACTCTCCAGCCACTCTGCCCCCAGTCTGTAGCGCTGCATGGGGTTGTTATCCTTTTATAAATCAGTGAATTTTGCCTTAGGCAATTTGTTTGTTTACAACTCCTGTTCCTTTGGGTAGGAACCATATCTCCTTAGGGTCAGGTATATTTGAATGTGCACATCTTCATTTTTATTTCCAATGTATAAAACAGAAATGCCTGTCAGCCTCTGAAAACAACTGTCTTTTCAGCTATGCTGTCATGGCAGACTGGTTTCATTTAATATTTTATCCAGTCCTTTTAGTACACAATGCAGCTCATTTGTTACTCACTGAAGCATCATTCTGAGTGTATTAACAGCACATTAAATTCCTGTCCAGCTATGGTTTCACAGTGCAAAGGGCAGCTCTCATGCAAACCTATGTCCTGATGATCCTCAGCCCCAGGCTGCTGATTTGTGGAGTTCTCCTTTTGGTCTTTCCATGGCGATTATGGCTGCCTAAACCTTCTCTCAAAACTAGGGTTCCCTAACATAAGTAATATTTACCTTCAAAATTATGCTACATAACTTAAATTTAGTCATTTAATCTAAAGACACTCTTTATTTAGTTTTGAAAGTTGTATATACCAGTTGAAGGTAGTGATAAACTCAATTAACTAGGCTGATATAAACCTTATTTAAATCAAATTAAGTGCATTTCTGCAGCGGTTAGCATCTATTTCATTAGATGTGATTAAAAACTGCTTGGGAGTTAAATTGGTGTGACTCTGAATATAGATAAAGCCAAGGGAAGATAGAACTGGCAGCTGAGCCTGAACCAGACTGGAAAGTTTGGAGTCCTTTGTACCCAGAACACCAGAGCTTTGTTTCTTTTAATTAAAACTGGGATACTGCAGAATGTAATGGATGTTGTTTAGAAAAACTGCCCCCTTGTTTCTGATAATTGGATTTTTCTAGCCCAGATTAATATCCTACTATGCCATTTTACTGCATCCAAGAGGATTCCTCCAAATAATTAAAAAACGAGTGCTGAAGACTGTAACCACCTCATTAAGATAAACTTACAACAACATCTTCGGTTCAAATAAGGAGTTCCTTTCTTTTATTCTGGAAAGAGGCCACAGTTTGTTTAGTTTGGCAGCAAGGAACTGATTTTTGTGTATGCAAGAAAGCTTTTTAAGCCATTACTGCTGAATCACTGTGTCTCAAGTAAAACGAAATTGGACTAGTAAACTTCGACAAGGGTCTGCCAAAACTAATTTTGAGATGGTTACAGCAAACAAGTATTGAAAAATGAAATATACCTGAAAGTGTAAATATTTCCAGAGAACTTCTGACATGTAGTCTTACACCAAACAGGCTGATAAACTTCTTTGCAGGGTTGCAATAGGACAATGGGTAATGGCTTTAAATTAGAAGAGGGTAGATTTAGACGAGATACAGGAAGACATTTCTTGTGATGACGGTGAAGAAACACTGGAACAGGTTGCCCAGGTTGCCCATCATGGTGGATGGCCCATCCCTGGAAACACACTAAACACGACAAACATCGCTTAAAAGAATATAAGGAAAGCAGTGATGATATTTGTAACTCAAAAAGTACCAGCTGAAGGAAGAATCTTCACACAGAGAAGATATATTTTGTTCTCGTTTAGGCTGCGTTTGTAGTAAGGTAGGTGTTAGATGTCTCTTTTCATATGACATATCTCAGGTATTTTCTTTGGGCCACATAGTTACATGGGATATTTTAAATAACAATTATGGACATCTCGTGCTGGGTGAACTAGATAGGTCCCAAAAGCGTATTTGAAAACATTCCAGGTGTCAGTGGGAAAGTGGAAGGTAATGAAGGTGATGGGTGCCATGGGCCCAGTGATTGTATCTGAAATACCTGCACATTTTGCTTGGTTTTCTGGTTTTTGGCATTTGTTTGCAAAGTGTAAGAAGCTCGTATCGTAATCTATTCTTAATGAAAAATGCAAACTATATGCAAAATATATAAATTTTATCTTAATTGTAGGGATATTTTCTTGAGATTTTGTCAGAAGATTTTGTACTAGAACATTTGCCTGAGGCCAACTCAGTGAGTCAGTCCAGTGTGCTGTCTGCAGAGGTGGCATGTTGTAGATGACTGAGTAGGAGGAGGATAGGAAGTAAGGCTGTTCCTTTCCCCAGTAAGCAGTTCTAGCTGCTGACCATAGGTGTGGCAGAAATTTCCAGAGGCATAAGCTGTATCCAGACCATTCTGTTCAGCATTTTCTTTTGGATGTGTCCTCCACAAACCAGTTTAATCTTCCAGAAAACATTTATACTTTGGCAATCACAACATGTTGTGGGAATTAATTCTGCATTTAACATGTAGGATGTCCCTCTTGCCTGATATTGATATAACTCACACTTGCCTTGGGCTCACCTGCAGAGATCCTGAGGTGCCATTGCTCAGAATTTCTCCACTTTCTTCTCAGCAGTGCTCAGACTAAGGTGCTTACTACTCTATATACTGGGTTCTTCTGCGTGCCAGAATGCTACATGCTGACAAATACTTCCAGCAGCTCTGGGTTTTGTCTTGGGAAATTCCAGGTAAACATGATCCCTCAGCCTCTTGCAGTTAACAGCTGCTACTTTTGCTCAAAGGGAATTCCCACTGACTTTGATCTGTGGGAGAGGACATCACCCTGCTTTGCACCATTACAGTGAGGTAATTAGCTAAAATTAGCTAAAATATTTGTCAAGGACATATGACAGTAGCAATTTTACATGCAGCAGGTCAGACTTTTCCACTGCTTATTTTAGTCATGCTTTGCTCTTTAAAAAGTTCTCTCTCCACTCCAATGAAAGAGGGAAAAAGAAAACAAGAGTAGCAAATATGGCACAAGGCACATAATTCCTTATTAGTCTTGTGAAATAGCCTTTTACAATCTCAGTGGTCAAAGCTGCAATGACCATTATATTAACTCTTCCAGACTTCTAGCATCAAAAGTTTGGTATTTTGTGTCATTCTGACATAAGTAAGGCACAAAGATCCTTTAAGATCATTGTACTCCCCACAGTTGGTGTGTGTGTCAAAAGGCAGTCACTTAAACAAGGTAGCATCCTACCTTCTAAGCACCAAGGAAAGGTCTCTGGGATGGTGTAATGGCATTTTCTCTGTGTAAACATCTGATAATATTAATTCACATTGAAAAATACCTCCTCTAACACTAAGTCCATTGAGAAAGCCCAAAAATGATCCAGGTTCTTTTAGGAGAAGACATGCAGCAGAAAATGTGGGGTTTGAGTGTGTACTCTAATTCACAGGAAGGAGGTGCTTCCCTGTGGCAACACTTCTCCTGCACAGCCGTGCCCTCAGGTGAGAAGAGTTGCTGACTGCAAGGGAAGGTTTTGAACCATGCCAATACTTCACTGTTTATTCGCATTATATGGACAGACCCTGCCCCCAAGCTGCTGTTCTTAGCCTTGGAGAGCTTCAGGGGAGGCTTTGCCTCATGTTCAGTGATGATGGCCACTAATCAGAGCCAAATATATCTGACTGTGAGCCCTGTCTCAACCTCGAGCTTGCTGTGTGACTATTAGCCAATCACTTTGGTTTGCTGAGTCTTGTTCTGTCTCTGCTAAGATGAAGACAACAGTATTTCTATGCCTCACAGTGGGAACACTCTTTGCTGTCCAGCATGTTCTCTTTGTCATCTTACAAGTTCTGTCAGGATAAAACCTAGGGATTTTTATACATTTTTTTCTCTGGTCGACTGAAGCAGTAGCAGCAGGTCCAGCTGTGCTGCTGGTAATCTGGCAGCCCTGGAGCTGCAGGTGGCTCACCAGCATGTTGAGCTGCTGTCCTGTCTACACACAGCATCAGATGAGTGCCAAGTGTACACTGTGTAAGGTGTACTACACCTCATGGTACAAGTTTCTGAAATGCAGAAGCCCACTGCAGGTGTTGGTCAGTTTTTCTGTGCTCTTGGGGTCAGTGTGGTGACTGGAGTGGGACAGCCTGTGATGGGGCAGTTGGACTGGGGTGTTAGAGACAGTGAGCTGGATCTGCTGAAAAACTGATCCCAAACTGCCACCTGCTGAGCCTGGAAGAAACATGCAGCAGAAATTCCTGCCTGTGTTCAAGGCTTCCTCAGGAGGGAACCTAAAGCGTGACTGTGTGCCAAAATCCAAGTCAGTAGCCAGGGGCAGATACTAAACACAGTGTCACTGGGCACATGAATGAAAGTTAGCCCACATCTTCAGGTGCCCAAACAGGAACAGTGGTGTTGAATGTAGAACCATGGCTTGAATTGCTGATCTGGGGGTGTAGCCAAGAACTCTACAGAGTGAGAAAAAATACGATATAGTAGCAGATAACAGATTACAGTAATCCTTTACATGTGGTCCTAGAAATAAAGTTCTGCTGTGTTGTTTAATTATAGGAAGAGGAGCTTATCACGAGAATTTTGAAATCATAAAGATGCCACTGCAGCATCAGATGCAGGAAAAAACTTCCTTTTTCTTTAAATAAATCAAAAGCCTTCACAATATAAATCAAATTCAGCTCAAGTACAGCACACCAGTACTTAGAAAGCTGGATTTTGTTTGGCACCATGATGTTATAGCAAACTTGTTGCAGATCCTCTTCATGATGCTCATTTTCAACTGACTATTGAACAGTTTGCGAAATACATCACAGATCCTCATACTTAAAATAAAGATAATAATTATCCACCTAGATCAAAACCTCTTGTAAGACATTTATGCCATTTATGTTTACAATGCCCAGGAAAATGAGATCTCATAATAATTTATGATGTCTGGAGGGCAGTGTGAAGTGAAAAGAAGACTGTTTGGATTTAATTTATACTTAACAAGTATGCTTTATTTTTAAAATAGTGCAGGAGAAAAAAATAAGGAGCATGGAAACAAACAACTACTACCAACAACAAAACAACAGCCCAAAACTATGTTTATATATACATGTAGCAAACCTCTAATGCCACCTGCTGAGGAAACACTGAAAATGAGAAAAAAGTCTCCAGCAGACCACTAATTGCATTATTCTTGTTACTGATTTCTTTTAAAATTTATATTATATAAAAAAAAAGAAAATATTTTAAGAAAATTAGATGTGTTACTCTGAGTATAATCAAGTGCTTGTACATTCAAATACCCAAGTGATAGGAGTTTCGTTTCAACCCTACTCCAGACACGGACTCCTTGTAATCAAGAATTGGTCCCACTGTTCAATTTTCTTTCTTCACTCCTAAATTAGCCATCAAAAAAATTATCCTGAAATACATTTCCATCTTTTAATGCATGAAGGATAGCTTATGAGCTGCACTGACTCCTTAAGGATATCACTTTAGCACTCATCAATAGAGGAAAAAAAGCCATTTTCTTAAGCAAACCCTGTTATAGAGCAAGTACATACAACCCCAAAATACAGCATTGGTCTTTCTTAGTAGAAAATAGGAATAGGAAAACAGTGAGGCTTATTTTTTAATATCATCAGAATATTTTAAGCTAGCATGAACCTGCTGATATCTGAACAGCTGTACTGTGGCATTAAATGCACAGAATGGGTCAGGTTGAAAAGGATCACTGGTGAGGTCATCTGGTCCATCTTCCCTGCTCAAGTAGGGTCCCTAGAGCATGTTATTCAGGACTGTATCTAGAGTTTTGCCAGTGAGGGAGACTCCACAATGTCTCTGAGTGATCTGTTCCAGTGTTTGGTCACCTGCACAGGAAAGAAGTTCTTCCTCATGTTCAGGAGGAACTTCCTGTGCATCAGTTTGTGCCTATTGCTTCTTGTCCTATTGCTTGCACCACTAAGCAGAGCCTGGATCCATCCGCTTGGCACCTCCCTTCAGAAACTTATAGACATTGATGTGATCTCCTCTCAGACGCCTCTCCTGGCAGCTCAACAGGCACAGCTGCTTCAACCCTTCCTCATAAAAGAGATGCTCCGGTCCCTTAATCATCTTTGTAACCCTGCACTGGACCCACTCCAGGAGCTCCATGTCTCTCTTGCGCTGAGGAGCTCAGAATTGGACACAGCACTCCAGATACAGCCTCAGCAGGGCTGAGTAGAGGGGCAGGATCATCTCCCCTGACCTGCTGGCAATGCTTTTCCTAACGCACTCCAGGATACCATTGGCCTTCTTGGCCCACCAGGGCACACTGCTGGCTCAGGGACAGTTTGTTGTCCACCAGGACCCCCAGGTCCTTCTCCTCAGAGCTGCTTTTCAGCAGATTGGCCCCCAGCCTGTACTGGTGCAGTGGGTTGTTCCTCCCCAGGTGCAGGACCCTGCATTTGCCTTTGTGGAATTTCAGAGGGTTCCTCTCTGCCCATCTCTCCAAGTTGTCGAGATTCTTCTAAAAGGCTACACACTGGGGTACTGGTCACTTCTTCCAGCTTTGTGTCATCATCAAACTCACTGAGGAGACACTATACCCCTTCATCTAAGTTATTAATGAACAAGTTAAACCTTTGGGGAACACCACTAGTGACAGGCCTCCAACTAGACTGTGTGATCTGTCATTCAGCCAGTTCTCAATCCATCTCATCGTCTACTCATCCAGTCCAGACTTCCTGAGTTTGCCTATGACGCTATTGTGAGAGACAATGTCGAATGGTGAATCCAGGTCAATTACAATTCTTCCTGCCAGCTTATTATAAAATCATTATGCAGTATTCAGAAGTGTCTTCTTTGCTCATTGTTCATTGGTACAGAGCTTAAGCTGCAGGGAAGGCTGTTAAGTCAACCTGAAGACTGCCAAGGCTTGTAAGATGTGGGAAATGCAAATTCTAAAGCTAAAGGGATTTTTCTCTGCATTTCTCTACATCTCGTGTGATACTTACCCTGCAAATATACACAAACACTGCTGCTCTACAGAAAAGAGAAAACCAAATGAAAAGTCGTTTGGATGGACGGAGTATTGTTAGACAGTATTCAAAATAAAACAAATGGAAATTGTTAACTAGGTAGATTTATCTCAAAGTAAAATACCTGTAAAGTAGGGGCTTGTTTCATTTTGAGATAGAGCATATAAATACAGTGTAAAGCTATAATAATACAATAGTAAGATGGACCTCTGGCTGCAGCAGTAGCATTTTTTAAAACAGACATAATAACATTTCACAAAGTAACAGGATAAAGACAACAAATATATCAAATTAGTTTAGGTATCAAGTTGTTAAGCACCTTTTGAAGTTCTTTCAGATGAGAGGGATGGAAGCAGAAAAGTATTTTTAACCAGTTACATTTACTGAAAGGAGAATAAACAAGCTGTTTGTGTCGTTTATGCATTTTCTTCCTGAAAGGAAAAAAGGACTTAGAACATTCAGGACCCTTCTCATTTAAATGTCTGAAACAAAACACAATGGAAGGCATCAACAGTTCGGAAAACAAAGGCTGTCAATCCATCGACTGCATACTTCCTGATAAATCCTAACCCCAGTGAGATTTAACAGGCCACATCATTAACAGCAAAGACCACCACACCAGCAGCACAAATGAAAGCTGTTAAGCCTATCAAACAGACAGATGTGCAACACATTACTGTGCAGAGGAAAACAGCACAGTAGCTTTGAGGATACTCATTGGCCTAATTCATGAAAAGAATAAAAGAGAAGAATCTACTGAGACATTTAATACTCATATAGCGGAAGAACTAATAAAACAGATATTTTGACACATAATAGTTTCAATTCCAGTTGGACCTTTCTGTTACACTGGTTACTGCTTCAGGAAAATGGTCTTCCCACATCTACCTGAATGCAGTACCATCAAGCAGACTCAGCAACAACGCAAGGAAATTGATGCCTAAAGTCCAGGAGGAAAAACTCACCAGGCAATATTAGTATAGATAAAATATAGAGCAGGTCTTTGATGAAGGCCTTCTGGTGCTAGGAGTACGAAGGCACATGCCCGTGTCCAGGGGTTCTACAATTTTATAGTACTATCCATCCAATCCAAGAACTGTCTGCCCCCAGATCCTCCCCAGAATTGTCCCCCTGGCATGCTTCCCCAGAATTGAGTTGGAGGTTTCAAGACCTCTTTCTTCCTCTTCTTCCTCCTCCTCGTCCTTCCGGCACGCGTTATCCTCAGAGCTTCTCCAAGGTTCCACGCCTCCAAAGTTGCTTTGGCTACAACCTTGTTGGTGATATCTTGTTGTTTCGGCCTAGGGTGCATATGTTCTTAAACAGGGGGTGTTTGCTATAGTCTTTCCTTGAAAAAAACTCTAGACAAGTCTAAAGAATTTAGAAAACTTGATATATAGTGTGAGAAAAGGTTCGATAAACTGCTATTCTGAAGTGTGAGAAACTACATAGCTATACTAAAAATCCATGTTTACTGCACAGCTACATTAAAATCTACAAAAAGCTAAAAATCCTAAAAATTCTAAGGCATCAAAATAAGAATTTGCTCATCTGATGCTCACCAGGATGGATTTTGACTGGAAAATATAACATGTTGAAATACTTTCCACTTCATCTTCACGGTTTCCATCTTAGCTTCCCCGGCAAAAAAAAGCCATAACTATTCTAAGTTACTAGAATTCTAAGTTACTGAAATCACTGAAAAGTATGAAAGTTTCCTAATTTCTTGATCTAAAGCATAGATCTTAGATTACCACAGTCATAAATGCTCAGATACACCTCTGTAACTCACTGGCCCTGTATTTTGTTCCATGTGGAGGAGTTACCATTCCTGGAGGTGTTTAAGGAAAGACTGGTTGTGGCACTCAGTGCCACAGTCTAGTTGACATGGTGGTGTTCAGTCATAGGTTGGATTCTACAATTTCAGAAGTCTTTTCCAAGCTAA